GTCAATGACACTTCTGATTTGTTACATGCTTAAAAGTTAAGCACGTGCTGAATACCTTCCTGAACCAAAGCTCATGTGTTTCTTTGCAAACGCTGCCCTAATGGAGATACCTTTATGTAATTTTTCCTCCTTCCAAGTCAAAAGCTTGTTGATGTGAGAAACAAGCTTGAGGAGGTTTCAAATTGCTACACCACCACAATTACAATACATTGCTTCTTGGTCCTCCATTGCAGCCAAAGGCAAAGCAACATGAAAACTGAAACAAGATCTCTTTTACTGTTTCTCATATGTCCCTTTACCAGGATGTAGAAAGCTCTGCTGTGTTGTCAAAAAATAGTCTTACTTTAGATGATGGCAGTGCCACTGTATCCTAAAGCAATAACCTGCAACAGAACTGCTTTAAACCTGCAGTGATTGCTAAGTGGAGAACTGTGCAACACCTCACTGTGCCTCTTCATCCTCTCAAATGAACAACTGACTTCACCTGCTTCCATTTCTTGTCTCACAAATATTGCATGCATTATGCTATAATATTAATATTATGCTATAATATTAAATTATTCTTTTCCTTTTAGTTAAAACATAAAAGTGCCTGAACTAAGAAAAATTAAAACATTTTTATTTCATAAAAAAATGCTTCTCCATCAAACTGTTTTGAAGAAAATGAAGCTAAAACAAAGACATGTTTTGTCTAACATATGTAAAATCTTTGCCCTTTATAAAAAGATTAATACCAAAACCAAGTAAAAACAGTTTCTGCCTTATATATTGGAACTATTGAGTTTTTCAGAATGAGTGTCTTTGAGATAATTTTGCCCATAGGTTGTCTGAATTCTAAAAGAAGGTACCTCTTACAATGCCTATTCCCTTTCAGCAGACTGGCTTCCCAGTCTCCATAAGGGACTTATGTCTAGCCCCTCTCTTTTTTTCTTCTAATTTTCTTTCGCTGTAATTCTCATCTTCTTTCTGGTTTTGTAATCTTGCTATGTGTACTCACTATTCTTTCCTCCCCCATATGCTGGTTTAAATATTCCAGATCCACTGAGATTTTTATTCCAACCTCCGCCCTCATCTTTAATTTCTTAGACTTCTTTTTTTATCGTGTTGGGTTTTTTTTCCCCTCTTAAAATAATGTTCAGGGAATTGAGAAACCAAAATGGCTCACATTACCACTGAGGCATCTCTAAATGGCAAATAAATAAGCCCTTTGAATAGTGCCATTCATTGCAACAAGATGCCAAAACGTTGTAACAAACAGCAAGATGAACACATGCATGCTCTTCATGCTGCTGCGGAGTGGACTGCCCTTCTTCCTCACCACAAGTCAGGAAGAAAAACTGGAAGAGCTGAAATGTCCCAGATTTCCAGCCTGTGAAACCCTTGGGGAGAAAAATTAATTTATACCCTTGAAACTCATTTGCGGGAGAAGGAGAAGAGAAATCAAAACCATTTTTGGTGGATCCAAGTTGACTACCACTTTTCATCAGAGGATTACCTATAGGCCAAGCAACGATTGTTTCAGGCATTGTACAAGCACAGCTGCGGTCAGCCACGAGTTTGTTACCTGACGAAAAGGAACACCAAGGAAAGGTATAGCTTCAAAGCAAAATTAACATGATGAGACATAAACATTAATTTCTTGGTGCTTTTTTCGTGAAGGGAAGGATATGTTACATGGAAATCAAGGGAGTCCAGAAAGACATGGCAAGGGAGAAGGGGACAAGACAGCCACGTATGAAATGACACTGACCTTAAAGACCCGCAAAGCCAAGGGAAACAAGAGTAATGGTTCACACAGCACAAAACATGGCAACGGCAGGCAAAACTATAGAGACGTCATTTAATATCAAACCTGAACATGCTCATACTTTGCCTGGCATATCTGGCTGGCCCTCCCCTACAGCCCTATGTCAGAACCAAGCAAGACAATTCACAGGTCTCATTTTCTTCTGGACTGGCCTCCCTTCCACAGAAGGTGGTTCTGAGGGTCCTGGGTGAAATATTGTCTCAGCCTGGGTCTAGTTTTTGCTTTTTCTTTCAAAGTAGAGATCTGCTTCTACAGTTCATCTTCTGATTGGACACTAAGAAATACTCTGCTTGGAAGAGACTTATCCATAACTGACAAGAACAAAAGCTAAACAGCTATTTCCCTAATGCTCCTCTATCCCCCTTATAGTCTTAATCATCGTGCAATTCTAACGCCAGTTAGGCAACACATCAGGCTGCACAATCTAGTTCCAGCATTCACGTCTCTGCATTGGTTTGATTTTGCAAAAAATCCCCTCCTCAACCTACTATAATTGGTTCACAGCCATGGTTTGGAAGCATGCATGCAGCCTATAAACAAGGTGAAAGTGGTACCGACTGGTTTCTAGCTAGCAGGAAATAAATGTTCATATCAACAAAAATTTAAAAAACAAACAAACAAAACAGCTTATGCACTAAGCATGACATTCTTTTCTTAGGGCAAGTCCCCATATCCACACTTCCACACATAAATTGCATAGAAATTCTCTAATTAGTACTCAGCAGAGTGATGACTGTAGAATGACTACACCATGATTTCAAAGCTAGTAACTCAATTAATTATGCCTTTTCCTGAAAATGAATTGTGGATCTCCTTCAATAAAGCTATCCACATAAGACATAATGAATGCTGATATAATTTTAAAATATTTGAGGAATCATAACAATTTTTTACCATTTTGCCTACCAAGTTACTGTATTTAAACTGGAAATATTGATGGCTATTGCTTCTATAGTTTGGAAGTTCGTTAAGTCATTTCATTTACTACAGGGGAAAAGAAATGCCTCTCTGCAGTCTGCCAGAGCCATAAATTACATATGCATGAAAAGTGAAGTGTTGCTTCAAGATTGTGTCAGTGTACCTCTATCATGACTCCACCACTCTTCTATAATTCCAAACTTCACTTCTATTAGCAGAAGCTGCTAAAAATCAGCAGAGGTGGCTGAATGAAAAATTTGGAAGTATTTTAACCCACAGCTTATGACTTTTCCTACGACTTCACCAGGGTTATAAACAAAAACACCTAACACAAGACTCTTAGAAAGTCTGAAACACACAGAAATTCAAACAGTAATATAAAAATACACATTTGACTGACAATAAGCCTGCTTGCCATTAAAAGTAGGTCTTTGGTCTGCTCTAAATGAAGGTGGCTCACTTGTAAAAGCAACATATTCAGTTCAACTATAAAATTTTTGTAATATTTTAACACACACCTCTCCATTGCCTTTGCTATAAATACACAGAGGTCACACTTGGGGCTTCCTTCCATCTTGGAAGCAGCTCTAGCGTGGGAGAGGTTGCTGCAGGCAGACCATTGATGGCAAGTTCACTGTTAGAAATGACAGTGAAATGACAGAAATCCCTTAAAAAAATTATAGCCTTCTAGTTCTAAAGAAGGCATAAACCCAAGGAATTCTGGAAAATGATGCAGTATCACTTTGATGTACTTTCCATGCCCTGCTTCTCTACATTTTCAGAGGTGCAAGAAAGACCACTACAACTAATGTTTCAAAAGTGAAATTGATGTCCAGTTTTTAAAGGTGTGTGACTAGGATGGCATAAGAATAAAACAGTGCTAATGTGTGGTGATGTAGTGATTTGAATAAGCACAACTCAACCTCTGCATTTTGTTAAAACACCCTGGCTCTGCTCTCTTCCCCCCCCCCCAACTTAAATTTGTGTGGTCACTGCAACAGCTTCAAAATCATGAGCTTACTGCAAGGTTTACCTTCATTTATAAGGTCCAAAATTAATAGCGCGGCTTACAACTCTTGGAATATTTATCACTTAGAACTTGAGCCACATCTGCAGCACAGTATTTTTCCAACAGAACAATACCGTATCTGCTCAATGTGTGTGTGAGGGCAGCATTACACCCTAAGTCAACTAAGCCAACAAAACCCACCATGTGGATACAGCTATGGCAACAGAAGCTTTGCCCAGCCTGTATCATTCAGAGAGGTAGAGTAATTACATTGTCAGAAAAACTTGAGACATATTATTTCAAGTAGATAAGACTTGACTTAGATAGCCAATTTCAACACTGTTAACCTTTAAAAGAAATAACTCTTTTAATGCTCAGAGTGCTTAAGAAAGAAGAGAGGAAAAAGCACCTGGAATTTTTCCAAAGCGCTTTTTTTTTTGACAATAAGAGCAAGTGAGATGCTGCCCATCCTCCCAGTACAAGTACTTCAAACATCCAGTTCCAGAAGTCAGCTTAGACATGAGGGACTCCCAAAAGAGTACTTAATGAGACCAGTAAAGTATTTCTTTTTTCTTTTTTTTCTTTTTCTTTTTTTTTTTTTTTCTTTTTTTTTTTTTTGGTTTTTTTTTTTGGTTTAGATCCCAGGTTACATGCAGTGATATTCTGGACAGTACCTTATATATGTAAGGCACCTTAGTAACCAGCAACTGTAACAGCAGCAGCAGCAGCAACAACTTCTATTTTCAGTGTCACCCCAAATGCAAAGGCTTAAAATAACACACATTCAGCTGAAAACAAAGGAAATGTTAATACCTGGCTCTTTCATAATGCTTTTTACCAATAAAATTCAGAGTAAAGTCTTCTTTTTACTCTGTGAACTCTGAGAAAAATGAAGACATAAATGAATTAATTCAGACCCTGGTCAAAGTACTTAAAGGAAGAGCTAAAGACTGAGCCAGTCTTGTATCACTTTTCTCAGAAAAAAAACATAGAAATATCATAATGAAAATCTATTTGTGTACTATAAACAGAGAAGCACCGCTACTGCCAGGAAATAGGCATTCTGAAATGGCAGTTTACCTATGAAGAGGAATACTTACCAAGTATAAACAGCCAAAAGCATACAATGTAGAGATTATATTCTTTAGAACGAAGCTATTTGTAACCAAGCTATTTGTAACATCATACTTAACTCCACTCTACCCATTAAGCCTAGAAGATTGTTTTAGACAACACTCAGAAAGGCAGAGATGTATCAAAGCTCACCTTCTCATGATTTTCTATCAGGATTTCGACGACGATATTCTGAAACTTCAGGTCCATGATGGCTGCTACAGTTTCTTCCTGTGGCCTCATTAAGGTTGGTCCAAATACTACCCCTAGATTTGCCACAGTCATTAGATTCCTCTTGGCATGCTTTGAAACACTTTTTGAAAAGAATTGAAGGAAAAAACAGGAAATAGGTTATGAAAAATTTCCATTACTGTTGGAAACTGCAGTCTACAAATGAAAACATTACATTTCCCTAATCTATGTTTTAGAAGTTTGTTTTGTGCAAAGTTTCTTCAAATAAAGTCTTACTGAATTCTGGAAAACAGAAAAGTCATTCTTCCACTGGCCATTTCAAAACAAAAGCAGGCTCTTACTGAACTTGAATATATAAAATGCACTTAGCCTTGGACCAGGGCAAGTGTGAAACCAACTTAAATTTGCTAACAGATCTCCACTATTGACTTTGCCAGAATTTAAAAAAGAAAGTATAATGTTCCCTTTCTCACTTCAATCAAACCCTCAACTGCTGGCAGGACTGCTAAAGCAAATACTTATATGGCTTCATTAACGGATTAGATTTCTGCCTTTCCCGCCAAAACATACACAGCATGAGTCAAACGTCTTGTCTGCTTTTGCACGTTTGGTTCTTCGTATTGTGTATGACAGCATCGAGACGGGCTTCAGCTCCAGCCACACTTAACTACAGCCCTTTGTAGTTAAACAAAGGCAAGGACAACAGTTCTGACAAGGTAGGAGAGCAGGTCATAACACTTACTTTGCTAAATGTTTCACCAAAATTTCCAGCATCTCTTTGTTCTTTTCTGGGAGTTTATGGACCAAGAAGTGAACAGCATTAACTCGAGATTCAGGACTCCCACTTTCTACAGGACAGAAATAAATAACTATCTCAAAAAACAAAAATAAAACAAAATCCACAGAAACACAAAGCTTCTCCCACCCCTGCATGGAAACATACCGCATACACTTTGCTTCGCCGCTTATGTAGCTCCAAACATAGCAATATTGAACATATGTGCTTTGTTTTCACAAGTAATTTTGTTCTGGAATTATCAACTTATTTGCTTATTTCGTGAACTCATCTTTCAATCCACCTGCAAAAGGATGCCCTTGTTCATCTATTTTTAAAAACCAGCAGATGTAGGTACTGTTGTGCTGCATCGGACTCGTCTGCTTACACGCATACTGCAAGGTGAGGAGCGACATTAATGGGGGCCACAGAGAGGAACTCTACTACTTCACATTTTAGCATCATTAACTGATTGTCCTCATCATTAGAATTCAGTTTTGTTGGTACTGTGCAGCTAATGATACTGCATTTATGCTACCTTGCATTAGAAGCTGCGTAAGACAACGTGTGTGGAAGATTCATAGGCTCAGAAAGAGCAAATCTAATGACCTATGAAGACGCAGAAGAATAATCAGGTAAAAAACCTACTGGGTGAGATTACCATGATAGAGAGCCCTGAGTAACAACAGCATCCCTCTCTAGAACAGCACAGAAATAAAATAAAAATAAGCAAGGAGCTTTTTATTTTTGTGTTGCATGTTGAATTGAATAATTTTGGCCCCTACAGGTTTCACTAGTACACAGATGAAAACAAGAATCTGTAAAAGATGAAAATAATCCCTCTTCCTATTTCTCAAAGTTGTGTTAAATCACAAAATTACATCTCACTAGTGGTTACAATGAGAGGACTGCAAGTATTCCTCTTGTATATAATAATACTTAGTACAAGGTATATAAAGCAAAAAATTCAGAACCTACTCTGATTGCAAGAAGTTTTGACACCAGGACCACTCATCAGGTCCCGTTTTACTCTAAGGCAACTTTAATTGTTAAGCCTATTTCACATAAAATACCACCATATTTCTTCAGTGCATATTGCTACAGATTTTTCTTTTTTCTTTTTCCTTTGCATATTGCTACAGATTTTAGGCTTGCTTTTTCATTCTTTTGCAGTGAACACCCCTGCACATGTTGCAAGAAAAAAGGCTACCAAAACGCAAAACATTTAGCTTCTAGTCAGCTAATCAAAATTCAGACAGCCAGAAAAACATAAGCCTTCTTTAAAGCAAGACTATTTTACATATATGTGAAATCACGAACTCTAATTAAAGAATGGCTAAGCAACTTAATCACAAGATATAATCAAGGCTTATATAGTCTTAATCCACACTGATACGTATGAAGAAAAGAAAACTGAAAGGAGAAACTTAATTTTGGCTTCCCCACACCCCCGCCCCCTCCAATAGTTTCAGAGAAAAGGGTATTCCTTACTACTACCCTGTGTTGTTGGGTTTTTATAGCCAACATAGGAAACAACACTGACTACCTATTTTTAAGTATACTGTAACTCATATCTGCAATGTTGATTAAATTTCTCTCCCCCCTACACAGAATCAACCCCTCTACAAAAATGTTTACTACTTATGAATACTGTACTATTTAAAACATGTAACTTCAACTGAATTCCTTTATTGAAAGAGACTATGAAATAGTGAAAGGAAAATAAACAGAGAAACTGCTGGCAAAACTTCATAGGTTAAGAAATTATTTTAATACTTTCCAATACAAACGGGCAGACTCATCATCTAGGTAAGTATGTTGAATTTTATTTAAGCACTTGGCCTCTAAGGTGAGCTTTGGCAACGAACTTCATGGGCTAATTCTCATTTTGAATCAAGGACCCCGAGTGAACGCATTCTGCAGTCCTGGGAAGTCATTAGAGCAATCCAAAGAAGATAAAGCAATTGTCTCAAAGTTTATTTTAATTTTGCTTTCCTCAGTTTGCCAGAAGTGCCACAGGCTGGAAAGAAAATCAGCTAAATATCTGTTTGATACTTTGCCAAAAATTTTCTTACACAGTTTCCCTCCATGCTCTTCCAAAAAAATTCCTTGTACCTTAGATACCATAACAGCTGAGCTACAAATGCTGTTGTGTCTCCTCCAAGCCTGTATTTGAACTGCCATAGTGTAATCCGGCCAGCTCTTTCCTTTCTTCTACTAATATAGGAGGAACACTCAAGCCAGCCTGGATACAGAGTTAACAAGGCACTGAAAACAAGGGTCAGGCAGCTGTGCTTTAAGGATTCAAATGAGCCCAAATTAGTTTATTTTCTTTTACTAAGCCTCATGCTTTTTATAAATAGAAGAAAAAAATAAGACAAACTGCAATCTAAGTAGACGTTTATCATTATATAATTAAAATAGAAAGAATGAATGCTCAGGTTTATCCAAAAGTTTTTCCATAAAAGTAAAAATTGCTCTATGCTAAGTCTGTGACAAGCTTGTCTGTCAATAGATACGTCATATGTGATACATACTAGAACTGAACACCGGTTAAAATCCACGTATTTTTAAAACGTTTATTACTTCTAAAGCCTGCATTTTTACTGCGTTGAAGAATTTTTCTGAAATTATATTTGCAGTGCACTCCTAAGGCCACAACAGTACTACAGGAAAAGATTTCTATTTGAACAAGTCATGTACTTACTGGCAGGAACAATGAATTCTCCATGCAACTCGTATGTCATCAGTGGCTCTGGAAGGCTCCTGTAAAACAAGGATGACATAGGAAATTTAGCTGTATTCTTTTCCATATGTATTTACTCTAAGCAGAAAATCTTTTTAACATTCAGTAGTATAATCCTCGCACTGGGGGCAACCATTGTTATGGTGGCCATTGAATTCAATGATTTCCAGTGTGAATGGAAAACTTGGTATTATCAGGAAAGTAAGACTAAATACATCCATTCACATTCCATAAGCTGAAGTGATGCCTCCAGTCTATCATAAGGCACCTTTCCAAATTACAATACTAAGACTTTTTCTCAGATGAACATATTATTACGTCATCAATTCTTCATTAGTGTTTTTGAAATATAAGGAATCACAAGTCAGTGCTTTACTGGAAAGAAATACAGATCCTGAAACAGTTAAGTTTGCTGAACAGTAGCCATCTACAAATCAAAATTCTAAAGCACTGCAAATGGAAAAAAAAAAGAATTTGAAATTGAAAACCTTAGTCATTAATGAAAAATGTACTGAATAATGGAAGTCAGAGTTAAAACCTTCATTTATTAAGTTGACTTTACTGATGCTTATGAAATATTGGAGTAAACACTCAGATGGGAAATGCTGTAGGCGGGAAATACTTCATCATGTGCACTTTTTTTTTCCCCTTTCCTACTTTTTTTTTTTTCCCCTATACTCCATAAGGGAGACTTTTATCTTGATAACAGTCTTCAGCAGTCTTTGACAGTGGTTGCAGTAATTCTTTATTTAATAAAAATAGCAGATTAAAGATACTGCGTTCGCGTTACACTATAGGAGATACACCAAAGTTCTATGTTCTTAGGCAATTTAGAAAAATACCTTGATCAGGATTTGGCCAAGCCATTTGAACAGAGAACATACCCAAAATTCTTACTTTTAAGACTCAAAATTTTATTACTACTGCACGTAGAACATCAGAGCAAGAGCGGAAAATATTAAAAATTTCATTACTTTTTTCCCTTTTGATTCTACTACACTAAAACACAAAGAGGCAAAAAACGCTTAACAACCTTAGTTGACCTTCAGTGATGACTCTCAGCAATTTTACTAACAATTCAGGTTTCTGAACCATCAGCGAAACACATATGTATCTAACACAAAAATGTTTGAGGCCTTGTCTCATATGAACATGAGTATTAGTATTGCTAAATTACTTTGCTTCTCTCAAGACAAAAAAACAAACATGGCATTTGCACAAAACGAACCTCCATTCCAAAATTCAGCAAAAGTAACACTGCATAGAATTGGAATACAGAATTCACAGTCAAATAAATAAATACGTACATACATACACACATAAATAAATAAGAGAGACAGACACAGGCTTACCGCAGATACTGCTTCATAGCACTAGTAATTGTCTTCACTTCCCAATCTACAGAGTTTTCCAGGTCAACTTCATTGCAAGTTTTTGCATCTAGAAAATGAAGAGGGACATTAAAAAAAGGAATTCTAAATCAGTATGCCCTACATGAACTGCAACACATTGAATTTGATCATTATGTATTTGCTCACATGAACACAGAAGTATTACGTCCTCCTTACTTAATACTAATAAGTTAATAATTACTTAATACTAATACTAAGACGACTTCATATCCAAACTTCTTTATAAATCCCATTTCCATATTTTGTTTTAACAAGTATTTACTCATTTTTTTTCTTTAATGAAGGATTAAAAATCACTTTCATGTAAAGAGATCTCTATAGCAATTGATATTTTCACACCTTTAATTAAACAGAAAGATGTACACAAAGAAAGATGTGCAAAAACAGTTTAGAAAAAAGACCCACTAAGCATAACTCATCTTTTCCTCTCTTCTTTCATTATTTAAAATGCAAGTACATCGAGAAATCTTTCTGAGTTCTTTCCGTGGTTTTGCTTGTAAACTGTTATTTTGGACTGCTGGTGAAAACAGCCAACGAAGTGCAGCATGACCCTCCTTACTGTGTGAAAACCTTTAAGAGGTGCTTCAAAAGTAGAAGAAGGACTCTCCTCTATCAGTAAGCTTCCTCTACAAGATGGCCTGAATATCTCCTTTACTTGATCAGTTTTAGCAATAGGGAAAAAAAAATGCTTCCTTGACCACTTGACAGGTTCACAGAACTCCTCCCATCTTTTACCAGGTTAGTTGGTAGAGCCTTATAACAAGACAGATCAAATTGAACAGTTGTACACCTGAACACCCCATCAGGTGAAAGATCACAGAAAACAACACAGCACATCGGAATGTTTTGCAATCAAAAAAACCCTTTTGGCCTCAAAACAAGAAGCAATAGCTAGCTGACACAAGAAGATCACATGTATATGGCCAAACCAGCCCAATGTATTTGCTAACTTTAAGTGGCTGAGCTTCTGTTATTATTGCTGGTACATGTTTCCATCAGTCATTACAGTAAATTACAGCAGTAGCTGACACAGATTACGTGTTGCCCAGTTCATACAATTCAGAATTCATTTGTTATTTTCCTTGTCAGACAAATGACAGACACATTTAAAAAATCAAATTAGGATCCCTGATTAAAGGTGCAGTCCTTTTACTGGGACTAAATAATTCTGTTCTAAAGGCTCTGCCAAGCAATTATTTCTGTAACTGAATATTCTCCCTCATTATATCAATTATTTAAATCTCATTTTAAAATACAAGTCAGATAACATTTTCTACCAAATCATTACCAGCCAACCATCACCCAAAATACTCAAGATTGTCTCAGGAAAACGTTTATTTTTCCTCTTTTCAGCAGGCTAGCTGTTTTGTGTTCCAATTCTCTTTTTTGAGAAGAAAACCTTCCTACAGAATTAATTGAATAAAAAGTGCCATCACATCAGAAACTAGTGAAATCTATGGGGATTTTGTTACTAAACCACTATGTAATATCCATTTTTTAAATAACTGCTTCATAATTATCAACCTCCTTTACAGCCAAAGGATGCACTCAGTTATGTGAAATTTGTTGATCAAGTTGAGGAGGAAAATAATAATCATCCGAATGCCAAAGCAAGCCTCTTAAAATAAAAAATGGAAGGTATAGCTGAAATATTTCATTATCTCTTGGGAAAAAAAAAAAAAAATTCAAACAAATTTGGCCCTGCTACCAACCCCAAACAATCCCTAGTTTGACTGTAGAAGCCATCAAGACTTAAAGAAATTTTTTTCAACTTTGGTTTGACAGTTGACATAGCTCTGGGCCCCACCACCCCATATATTTGACTGTTCCAGCTCCCTTTTTCCCCTCTACTTCAGACATCCCAGGCCATTATATGAACTAGAACTTCAACCGGGATTTCAGAAATGACTCTACTAGTTTTCATGCTACTTGTTCACATAGCAGCCACTGTGCACCGAATGGCAACTTTACGCATATAAAAATAACCGTGCACATTTATGGAACAGCTTTTGACAGATCCGCTCTAAATTTTATGCAAATCTTTCTGACATTAAGGGAGCTACAGTTTATAAAAACAGTCCAGTTCACTAAACCAGGCTAGGAGGAGACTGTCTCTGCTTTCATATGCAACATGCCCAGTGTAGGAGTGCAGGCATACTGTCATTTACTGTTTATAAAATAATACGGAATTCAGTGTAATTGTTTTGAAAGCTGCTGGTTTTGCAAAGGCAGAGGTACCTGAAAGTTTTCTTCTACAACATGTAATGTCTGGCATTTTTCACACCAGGCAATAACAAAAATCAAAAGTAGAAACTCAAGTCCTTAGCAGCCACTTCACCATGAGCAAGCATCTGTATGAAGGCTGACCTATGTGGTAGTTTGTGTGAAATCTACACAGACAGCTTCCAAGAAGAGCCACATCAGCTCTATAACATAAATCATACATGAAACAGGAATTGGTCCCTGACGCATTTCAAGAACTGAGCCTCCTGACGCTGACAATGCACACTGCATTGCTTAGAACAGAATCCCATAACTTTGGAACTCATAGCTCTGTATCCCTGTTTACAGTAATATATTAGATTAATTTAACATTTTCCCTTGAAAGGTAATGAGTGCTTTACTTACCAAATGCCTGACTTAAATTTAGACATGATTATTGCTGCAAAACAGACCACTATAGCACAATGCTAGTTACAAGTAACTTCAAGGACCAAGTTAAATACAAAATAAACTTTTTTTTTTAATGCAGAATTGTATATTTAATTGCTGAGCCTCATTTTACAGAAGACTTATTTTCACTAGATTTTTACATTAAAGATTAAAAACTGCATTCATAGTATTAGAAGAGCATATACTGATCTTCTAATACTCTCTTGACTCTCAATGTACATTCCCAAATTTTATAGAAAACGTTCTGAAAAAGAGACAGACTTACATGCTATTATGTCTCTGGTTACCCATTTGGAAGACTTTTTTTTTTTGCACTTTGGGCCTTTCACACTATGAACCTCATGGTCAATGACAGGTAGCTTAAAATACTTTGAAATCTTATCAAACATTTTAAAATACAGAAAGTTAATATGAGGTTTTTATGATTCTGAAAAGATCTTTTATATAAAAGGGTATCTAAGAGTATACCCAGAGACAAAGGATTAAAGATTAATCAGTCATTTTAAATTCTCTGTACCACTATATATCAAAAAGAAACCCTCTTTATTCTTCTCTGAGGACAGACAGATAAAGAGCACAGATAGGATCACTTTCAACAAATCACCAGAAAAAGAGCACCTGCTTGCACCCTTTTTTCTGTTCAGTATTTTACCTCATCTTGATACCACTGTATTCTTCCTACTTTAAATAAATATATGAATCTTGAGAAAGACAAAAAAATGTTTTTAATTTTAAAAAATAACTCAAAGCAGATGCTGGAATCCCCAGTAAACTCTTCCAGCTGCTACTGAACCACTGGCAACCTGAGTCTATTTAATTTGGATACCACTAATGGCAAAGAGGAAAATTTGCCTGCCAGACCTGCACACCCAAGCTAAGCCAAGCTAAGTACAAAACTGAAAAACACCTTATGATATCAAATGCATTTAATCAAGAATCTCTGAGTGATAACATGTCATTCTCCCTATGGTCAATGGCTAAAGATAGTTATTTTTATTGAGGCTAACTCCAACACAGATAAACAACCATGAGAATCTGTTATAGATCAGTCATTTTTGTTAATCCCAGTTTGTATTTCCAAAACAAGACTTCTGCTGCAATACTTTAAAAATACAGGCAGGTTTATGTGCACTAATGGAGAACTTCAGGGTGCTGTTAATCTTGATTAAAGTAAGATAACATAAATTAATATTTAGCAAGGTCATTATGACAGATTGATATGACATGCAGGTCCTCAAGCCTGATGTCTTATCATTTCTGAAGAGACAGCCTGTTTGAAAAAAATAAAGGAAGAAAAAGAAAAAGTCTTACAGGTGGCACTGAACTGACAGCAGCATATAATATAAAAGCGCTTTGTCATTCACATAATGTCTGGGGTAATGAAATGAATTCACTTTCTGGCTTCCTCCAGTTTGCAGTGCCAAAGAACACTGTGTTATCAGCACAGATGGAGCATGCATGGTTCTGGAGAAGAGCCTGGTGCAAACTGCAAACAAGCTTCTTTGCATACCAATGAATCCCTGAGAATCAGACCTTTGCTGTCAAGTGACAGGTTTGGAAGCTCTATAAAAATGAACTAATCCCAGTGGTCTTGTCTGACTGCATGTACTGTCAGTGCTCAGGACAAGAAATTGGGAAACACGGCACATCTTGCAGTCATGGCTACTACTTTGGTGAGAGATATCAGGCAGATGAGGGATTTCAGCCAGGTGCCAAAACTCCCCCCCCCGCCCAGGACATCAGAGTGGGAAGAGAACTACAGTCACCGGGATTAAAGACGCATCAATATTTCCAGAAAGAAAAGCGGGGAAAAAAGTTTCTTGAATCAAAACAAATCTTAAAGGCTACAAACAGCTAACTAAGTATAAAAGAGTCTAAGACGTTACCCACATATAAGAGCGACACTACTAATTTTATAAAAACCAAATCCTGTCTCATCTGTCTCCTGCCTTGGCACATGGTTATTATTAATATGTATATCGTATTCCTCCTCTTAAACCAAAGACCTCTTTGCCAGTAGGCTTAGATAAAATATCTTATTTTGCACAGTGATTAACTAAAGACACGCATGGGCGTGTACACCTGTACCTCTTAGACAAGGGCAAAGAAAGGTGGAAACTTCAAATAGTGAAGTAATAAGCTTCAAACTTTCTCAAATTTGGTATTTTGAATTTTCTGATCAGACCCTTCAACTTAGGCTGCTTTAATCCCATTTACATCAACCTTGCACAAACCCCATGATTTGCTCCTATGTGCCCAAAGCAGTTCTCTTAGTTTATTCCTAACAACTAGTCTTGGTCTTGCGAAACCAGAGGAACTTACAATGATATGGGCATTATTTGCACGGACTAAAGCAACCTAGATTTGGCCCATACAAAGAACAACTGCAGGTAGATGCTTTTAAAAATAAATATAAACAGCAAAACAACATGAAATAAAATATTGAAAAAAATATTGTAAAATAGAGGCATACCCATTAACAAACTCAGAAGTCTCTGGACCTTTGAACTCACCCCCACAACTCTGTACAGTCCTTGGTCATTTATACCTATTGTGCAAAAGGAGAAAGAAAAAAATACACAGAAGATCAACCACAGTCAAATTTACCATTAAAACTTTTCCACAGACAATAAATTCTCCTCAAAGACAGACAGACTACAAAGTACTAATGCATTCACGAGACCAATGTTATAAAGTATTGCAAGAATCCTTTTCTTCTTCTGTGTTTTTAAGATAAGTTTGTTATGTTTTGATAAAGGTTTCATGTACCTCAATTCCATTTTAGAAACTGGGTGTAGAAGCAAACAGGGACAAACTTTGCTTGGGGGAAAAAAAAAAATAAAAATAAAAAAAATCACTGGTGGTTTTCAAATGTTTTAAATGACATTTTGGATACATCAGCATCCACATTCTAAGAACACAAGAACTGAACCAACAAATACTAAATTGAGATTTCTTTAATAAATGTAATTTTGCTTTTTTCCAACTATGTGGCTGACAAGAAAGTTTGGATAAAATAAAGAAAACCTTGAGCCTCTTCCCAGCCCTCAAAACCAATGCTTTTTCAAGTTTGTAAATGCTTTTCATTTAAGATATAAGGCCTGATTCCAACCCACTGTGGACCACATAGTAGTTACATCCAGAGGCATCACCACAGGTTACTGAAATTGGTACTTCTGGTTTCGCTTGGGATGAATAGAGTTGGCATAATACTTTCAGTCTGCTACTCATTTTATGTGGGCACTGGACCACTTCCCTGTCATTCCTCTGTGCCCTTCCGTCCTCTCACATACATTCACTTCTCCACCCCTTTTCTTCCCCTGTTTTTGCATTCCTCCTTCACCACACCCAGTTTTATCCCCAGGGAATTAAAACTATGAATATAAATTGAAGGAAAATGGGAGGAAGCAAAGGGGCAGGGAAGCGAAAGGGCAAAATAAGGTATGTCTTTGTCTGCTGCATTGTTTCAGAGCCCATATAGTGGGAGGTAAAATATTACAGTTCTGAAGCTGACACAGATGTTTGAGAGGCCACATAATAAGCAGCCACCTACAACCTTCACCATATTCTACCTTGATATTCATATTGGCCTGGGAGAGTAGAAATGCCACAAAATACCTGTGTTTCTACTCCAAGGAAATCTTTTTAAATAACAGATTAAATGGTATTGTTATTTAAAATATCCTTCAACAAAGGAAGGCTTGTGGAGAATTCCCAGTTTCAATACCAAACGGTTCCAATCCGGAGAAGGAAAATTAAAACCAGTCATATGAGAAAGTTTCTTCCCAAATAAATATTAGATGAAGCATGTAAAAATCATTAGCCTTTTAATGAATTACTGTGAGATACAACCATAATACACAGCAATAATTCTCAATACAGTGGAGAGAACTTGGCATTTTCTACCTCCTCCTCCTCCTCCTACTGCCTAGCCTTGCTACATCTTTTCCTTTGCCTCTTACCCCCTCCTCTTCCTCACACAGTCTGCAGCCTCCTGAGCCATCCCAGATCTTTGAGAGCCTGATGAACTCTCCTACCTGTTAGCCTTGCTCCATCCTCTGTCCCAGCCTGGAGCTTGGGCAAAACTGGCCCTTTTCTTTCTCTGGGGTGCAGGCACTACTGTAATGATGCTGAGTCTTAAGCTAGATGTCACTCTCAGAGCTGGCTTAAATTAACAGAATAAGCCATATCTCTAGTATTTCATCTGCAGTCATCAAAAAAAACACAACTCTTGGAGTATGCTTGCAGTTTAGCTGCACTCAAAACCAGCTCTTTGGCCACATACCATTCTTCTCAAAATATGAAGTTATCAATGCAACCAAGCAAGTTTTCCAACGTTCCCCAGAACAACAGTATGATAGCATGCTATACACCACTTAAAGCCTGCCAACACTAAAAAAAAAAAAGCCACCAAAAAAAAACCCCAAAAAAACCCACAGTCCTTGATTCACTCCAAACAAGGACACACTAGGAATCTGTCCTGAGAGTAGCAATTATTTTTTACTTCAGATTTCTCAGAGGTGTCCAAGAAAATTCTGGTACAAAAGTAACACCAAGCTTTTTAATACTCTGCCAAAACGCATCACACTTTTTTTATACAATGTCTTCCACTACTTTTAGTACCACAGAACAAGCCTTCTGCATCATATGCAAGAAGCCAAAAAGTTGAAGAAATACTGTCACAGTCAAATACAGCTCAGCTTTGCTTATCTCAGAAGTTGTTTCATGACTTCCTGTGCTTCTAACATTAAGACTAAGGGGAACCAAACTGTGCTGACCCCAAACATATATTTACGGACTTAAAAACAATTAAGGTCAAACCACAGAACCTACTGCTCAATAGTAAAACAGACATGATATGCAAAAGTCTCTGAAATTATGGCAGCATGGAAACAGACAATCCTCCAGCAATAATCATGAGTCTGTGATAGTAATTATCAGATAATTGATCAGTTTCAAATTCATCAACCTGAAAAAAGCACACATCAAGACATGCAAAGAGGAATTAATACTTGAATACTTTTAAATGATACCTTTAAACATACCTTTAAACGATGTTTTATTTAAAATATACAAACCTAGTTTGAAACAGTACTATTTCTGATTTAATCTGCACATTTCAGATCTTCAGCACATCCAAGACTGATAATGCTTGGCATTTACAGAACACAATTGACAAGATGACTCATTGCAAGGAATAGCTTAAACTGAAACGTTGAAGGGTTCAGACACTGTGTCTGCCAGCTCAACCAGTCACTATTGGCAACTTTGAGCAGTAAAGCCCCACAGCATAATTTCCTTCATATTTACATTATCTCAAGATGTTTGGCTGTCTGATACCAGAATTTGGTACAGGTACGCAATTTGTGAGCATACTTAGCAAAATAAGGTATTGTAGGTAAGATAGTAATTTATACTATTGTAAGCAAGGTACGCAGGCAAGTTTACTTTGTGGCTGGCATTGTACATGTGTGTGACACAGACTAGTAATATAGCTGCAAATACAACTTTTTACATCAAACTCCATAGTACAGAAACAGCCATATAAGTGACACTTCAAATTCAAGGTAATATCAGATTTTTTTTTTGTTACATGAAAAAGTTTTCTACTTCCTCCTCACCATCTTTCTTTCTCATAAGCATACTGGACAGACAGCTCAATGCTGCCATCTCTCTCTGCAACTCAGATTAGCAGCTCCAGCAGTCCTGAAAATCAAGGCAAACATTGCTCTGGCAAACACCTACCACATCCTCACAGAAGGTACAACCAATTACTTGCACACAAAAACACACACAGAGTCTCTACTACTGGAGCAAACAGCTCTTTGATGTTTCTGTAAACTTTTACCTTGTTGTATTATTCTCAGTACAAAATTATAAATAAAATACTCCAAACAACCCCAGAATGTTCTCTCGGAGACAAAACACGGGTGCACATCCAACCAGCACCGTGTCCAGTATGTGAGAGACAGGCTGCATATCTTGATGCCTCAGCATCTCCTACCAGGTAAAGCACAGCCAATGTCTCACAAGGCAATGCGGAATCAGAATCTTACATGCATTTTAACCAAGACTCTGCCTTTGATTCTTGTATTCATTCAGAGCAAATAATTTCCTTCTTGGCTTTATAAAAGGGAACGTAACTGAGAAAAAATTATCCAGCCATTGACAAGTTTATGTTCAATATCTCTGTTATGCTCTTCTCTCTCTGAATACCAGACTTTTTCTGCTATGACATGACAAGACTATTCTCAGTTTCCACCCACGCTAGACTGTCCTCTCTTTCCACCCACGTCAACCTCACACCCATTATGATTAAAAGAGATAAAAACATGGCACACAAGCACAGTCTCTGAAGAGGCATCTGTCCTGTTTTCTTCTGCTGAACATAACTTGCCTTTGATGTGTTATCATTAAAGTAAAATAATCAAGAAAAAATTGTTTTAAGAACAAGTATAGGTATAAAATCTGCAGCCTGAAAGGTGTATTTTCTTCATCATACAACTATTTGGACAAACCCTTCTGAGGCAAACAACTGTATGCTCTCTGTTTGTTTAGCTTGGTACACATCAGCAGAAGGTCCTGCAGGTTTTGCAGAAAACAGAAACTGATCTTTAGGAATGCTTCATTTAGTCTCATGGATGGAATCAGGATTTTGTCTGTCAGGTTTTGTGGTTTTTTAAAATGCAGTTGATGTTAAGTTCAGTATTGATAAACACAAAATCATCGACAACTGCTTGAAATGCAATGGATGAATCAAGTTCATTGAAACAGAGCTAGGTGGATTGCTGAGTTCCTGGAAGGTAGTACTCACCTAAATCCACTCCTGAAACCCTGGGAAAATAAATATTTATTGAATACTGATTTTTTTTTCTTACGTACTCCCCAAAACAAAATTAATAGATAAAAGTAATTTTCATTGGTGGTAATTACCACAAAGCCCTCCATTGACTGCAGGTCTCACAAAGGCTGTGTACAAGGGATAGTGAAGCTGAAAGGTCTCTAAAGACATGAAATACTGCAGCTAACTTTGGTAACTTTAATTCTCTTCCAAGTATGCTTCAGGGCAGATGCCACTAGGGGACACATGCTTCTAAACTACGCACTTAATTTTGCACCTTCTTACATGCCCCTAAATCAAGGCGTACAGAACAGAGTGGACTTGAACCACCACTCAGTTTAACCTACCCACTGACACCCATGAGAAGAAACCCCATAGCTAACCCATTTTTCCAAATACCCATTTCATGAAGGAAGTGTTCACACTTTTTCCACAGTTACATTCTTGTTTCGCTTTCCTTGCAGTGTATCAAAGAAAGAAAAGAAAAGACTAATCATTCAAACACACCTATAGATAATAAACCAAAATATGGTATACTGCACACTGCTTACAGTAAGCACGATTCATAAGGCACTGTGGAGGTAGCCAGTCACTGTGCTGTAGACCAAAACCATCCTTTCATTACATGACCACATGCTACACTTTTCATAAAATCTGCCTCATCCAGTGCAAAGAGAAGATCCATTCTATATTGAAGCAAGGTTTTGCAGTGAAGGCAACTTATCTGTAGGGTGCCAGCTTTATCTGCAGCGTTTCCCAGCTGAAATTTGGATTATAAATGCCAGTAACTGAAACTTTTTAAGTGATGAGGCAGGCAAACCTTATTCAAAAAATATTCAAAAGAACAGAATGAACAAAAATAACACCAGACAGAATATGGTCGAATCTGCAATAACATCTTTAATGCATCAGACAGGACCGACACAAAAAAGTCCAAGAGAAAAAGAGATTTCAGATGCTTCTTGCTATTTAAATGCTAAATTCTCAATATCACAAAGGCTGCTCAGTCTTACTAATAATCTTTTATAGTAAGTGCATACTTAAAAGCAATGTCTTCCATGTAAGACCCTGCTTTGACAGGAAGTGTGACCATTCCATTCTTTTGTTTAGCTATCTTATTTAAACTGGACTATGATACAAAGAAAGATATAAATATTCTGACCTGTGCAATAAATCTCTAGCAAAAAGATACAATTCCTGAAAATTCATAAATCTCCCCTTTGGGAGCGGGAAGGAAGGTCAACAATTCAGGACAAAACCAATATTCACACATGAGAAATTTCAACATCTTTTAACTAAGAAATACACTGTAATCAATTACCTATTTTCACCTCTTCACCATCTTTTTTTTTAAAAAAACAAACAAACAAACAAACAACAAAAAAAACCCCCACACAACCAAACAAGCAGGTTCTCCACACAATACCATATACAAGACAGTGAGACTCAGAGCGGCTGGTCACCTCACCCTTCAACATGTCCACAGAAGGACTGTTGTCTCCTCACACAGCAGCAACATCAAAAGCTGGTATTATCCAGTGCCCACGTTACACAGGGTCTGTGACGCAGAGTCTCTTCACAATCATAATCCTAACTACCTCCTGAATACTGTCTGCATACTGACCTTTCTCTTCCATCTCCAATTTTGGAGGTACAACAATGAGTATATGCAACAATAAGCCTACAGCATCTTCATCTCTGGGGTGAGAGTAACTCTGCCAGAAGTACTTCAATACTTTTTGTTATTCACTTGCCTGATCAGCTCCTGTTGTTCTGGCTTAAGTGACTAAACAGAAAACCTCTGTTCAAAGTCCAGAAATGGAATACTAAAATTAATTAGCCTGTTCCAATAGCAAAGCAAAGATGCAGGGGTTTTTTCTCAGCTGTTGCACAAACACTGGCTTCCTTTGTCAAGACAAGTGCCATTATCCCCTTCTAAGCACTTCTTGAAAACAGATTTCTTGAGGGAAAGCCATACATAAAAGGCTGGGACTAGACAGAAGACCTCCTGTGCTGGTCAGTGTAATCAGTGTAATATCTACCATGTTAAGTCTTTCCTAGAGATCTACAGGAGACTAGATCACATGAGCCTTCTTTGAAGAGTAGACCAGCTGCTCCACCCCCTCCACAAACATGCTGGATTGATCATTACCTCGTGTTTCAACAGCACTGATGCACTTTTTGATGACAGTGAACCCTATCTTATCCAATTGTGCACCTACAAGGAAAAGAAAAAAGTTTGAAAAGTTTTAAAGCACCATTGCAATTATGTCTTTCACTGAAAAATAAGGCTGGACTTAGTCACACACCTAGCACTTCTCAGGCAAAACTGTAAATATTCTGGAACAGGAATACTCCATCACTTTTTTACAGAGACTCCTTCACAACCCTGCCTAGCCCAAGTAAAGGCTCATTCTGGTGGTAGTGGCTTCACTGAATCTGTTCACGGCAGCAGCCTTTGAAGAATGGTATCTCTGATTAGGTACATATGTTGGCAGATGCAAAATGGAATTTAACAGTACTTACTGCAACATCAACAACATCTGAGAGAGTTAACCAAATGGGACAAGGAAGTACTTACGATGAAAACAAATAATCATCAACAGAAGGGCTTTTACTGAGTCCTACCCTAAGCCAAAGAAATTCCCACACTAAACATACAGCACACATGTATATCATTTCACAGCAGTTAATGATCTGACTACATAAAAGCAGATGCATTAACAGGACAACAGCTGAGATGCAGCATTCCTTTGTTGTTCCTATCTTGTTGTTCTTCTTCACATTAAAACTTCATTTAAAAGTTTATATTGCAAAACTGCCCTTCCCTCAAACATCTGGCCGCCTTGTTCCCAGGGACCTGGTCTTGCACCACAAAAATAAAAATTCGTGGAAAAACTTAATAACACCAGGATCCAGCTTGAACCAACATTTAAAAAAAAAAAAAAAAAAAAGGCAAGCATCAATTTCCTAATAATGCAAGAAGTATAACTGCTTTCACTCGTATACTTTGCTCACAAAAGAAAGTTAACCTTGTTTTAAAGAAAGCCATCTCTTCTACTTCCATATTACAGTTTACATTCTAAATAAATGCATTCTGGTTTTTTGCTGACCTTCACGTTCAGCTGTGATTGCTTTTAAAACCATACTCATGCATTCCAACAGATGTGTACACACAATCTGGATTAAGAATTTGACATGCATTTACATACAAATTAACCCTTTTTTGAGTCAATTTAAAGCATGAAGAAAACTGGCAAAAACAATCAGGCTGTTTCTCTAGCTTATGTTCAGTCCTACAATCCTTACGTACTAAACTGCATGACTGTGAAAAGCCATTAATTACAAAATCCACAAAGTATATTCAGAACCCAAGATTAAAAATACAATATTTAATTACATTGGATCCACAGGAAAAAAAAAAAATCTACCTTTGCCTTTCTCAATTGTAACAAAAATCACTTTAATAGTAATTCAAATACTTACTTCCCTCTCGTTTTGCATTTGCTCTATTCAAATTGATGAACAGCTAACGCAAAAAGAGTAAAAAGACATAAATTATTTAAAAGAATTTTATGAAATCAGAAACAAGACACCCCCAATCTCAATGCCCAGTAGGCACAAATACAGCTGTTTACAGCTATAACATACCACCTCTAACTACAACAGCTCTAACAGTAGGACCAGACATCTCTGCCTCCTCAGAAAGCACATAATTGTTCTTTTTAAGGAGTGAAATTTTTAAAAAATTCTCAACAAATACAGTTCCTTGGGGAACAATATTAGTCATAGCCACTGAAATTAACTGTGATTTACATGCTCCATGTTCTCATGTTTCTCTGCAGGTTAATTTCCCACAGTTCAAGTTCACTCAAATCGTTGTGAACTGCTTTGATGAATCCTGGGAGTTATGTCCCAGCTCAGCATTCCCAGAAGTTGCAAGCTTACTGGAGAGTCCACTCAGACAACATGTGATTGATAATAAACAACTCTAATGAAACAAGATTATTACAATAATGATGTCAATAAAACCTACCTAAAATCCGCAGTACCCAATTACTGGGGACAGACGCATGATTGTGTCATTGACTAGAAAACCCCATTATTTTTGGCACACAAGACCAATATAACATTTATGATTGTAAGAATAATCTGCAGTGTGTTTCAATTCTGCAGTTCAGACCCATTTCCTGATGTGAACCAGAAATTAAGCAAATTCAAGTATAACCTCATTCCCATTGACAAGGATATTTTTGATCTAGTTTTTAAAAAAAATATTATAATAATACCATATAACTAACTAACTCAAGTCTTGCCACTGAAATGAAGTATGTCAGCATAAGGCTAAGTGAACATGCTTATATGAGACATTTTCTAGAATACCAGTATCATCATTGTGATGGGAAACCATTTATAAAAATCGATGCTGTCATTACAACGAAAAATATCTCATATCAGCATTAGCAGTTGTCTATGCTGAGCTTTACAGTTATTCATCTCTCCTGAGTTTTATTTCACTTTATTCTTTCTCCATTGAATGTATCATTTTGCAAACTACATAATTCCAGATTATTAAAGTATAAATGAAATCAGGAAGCAGGGGGTGAGAGAATTTCTTCATTAAACTATAAATGGATATTTAAAAAATTACACTTACAGCTTCTTTTCCATCCAAGGCTTCCATCCACAGCTTCCTGTCTTCCTCAGAAAACGCCTGCATGGTCACAGGAACTCCAGGCCTGCAAACATACCAACCACACAGAGTAACTGTATTCACCAGCAACTAAAAAAGTCTTGTCAAATTCTACTTCCAACTACAAGCAAAAGCTCATTGTCCTAAAAGTGGGCTTGGGGTTTTTTTACTTAATTACTGAACACTGCCCATCTTTAAAACAAAAAGTATAGAACTGATACACGCAGTAGGAAATAAGGAGGATAGGGAGGAAAAAGGGAAGTGAATGTAACCTGTGAACTATTTATTTGAAATAGCTCACTGTTGATAACTTGTTGATTCCAACACTTGCTGGGAGTGACTGAGCTTTCCTAAACTTGCTCTTGCATTGCTGTGCTGTTCCATAAAAAAAATGGGTTTTGTCAACTTATTTGATGTGCAGTCTTCAGCCTTAGAGCAACAACGATTACAGTTTTCCAGTAAATATCTTATAAAAAATAATCATGTCTTAATGCAGTATCTCATTACAAAAGTCCACTATTATAACTTCCCTAAAGAGCAAGGATGGACAACTGTGGGACGTAGGGATTAGTAAACAGAGATTAACATAAATCTACTTGTGTGTTTATATAATAGGAAACTAAAAAGAGTAATTGTATGATTCAACATAGTATACAAAGCAAGGACAGTTAAAAGCAGAACACGTTATTTGGGTAATTATTTTTCTGCTAACTTAAAAAGAAAATAAAAATCATTATATTCAGCCTGCCAATACTTCTGGCAAATTCGCAAATCTTATTATATAGAGATGGATAGAAATAGAGAACTAATTCATAACATTCTCTCTCTCTTTTGTATTAAATCTATCTTCAAGTAGCAAAACAGCTGTAGGGGAAAATGTTATCTAGCAAGAGCAGCAGAGAGAAAACCAGCACAAATCCCACTTTTACTAAAACTGTAACAGTCTACATGCCACGTTCATATTTTTACAACTAGAGACACTTCTAGTTCATTTTCACCTTGCCATAAATTTTATCAAACAACACAATTTAATTGCAGCGTAAAACTCTATAGATACAAACACCTCCTGCTCAAAATCTCTTTTCAGACATGTGAGAACTAAGCACGCACACACCCTGTAACAAACCAATCTAAACTCAGGAGACCCAATTGTAACTTTGGAAAATGGCAGCAATCAATCAAGTCATCCTCTTTTGATTAGATAAAGTGAGGAGACTATTAAATTATAAAAATGGAATCTCTTACTATTCTCAGTGATAGCCACTGAGCTCTAAGAGTGGGTGAGGGAAGTCTTGTCTTAATTTCTGCAACTAATAACCTTTAGAATTAAAACAAGCTAATATTGGTATTGGTAATAACAGTAAGCAAAGCAGCTTCTCAAGCCATATCAGTTTTTATCAATGCAAACTGGTCTGCTAGTAGCACAGAGCTGCAACCATCATAAAAACACAAACTTAATCACTTGCTAGAAAGGAATAGCCTAAGTAATTAGCTAAATTAACTAAAAAAAATTATTTGTTTTTTCTTGGCCACTTTCTTTCACCAGTTAAAACTAAAACCAAATGAGTTACTTTTATGCAGGCAAACTTTTCTTCTTTCCTCTAAAATTCTAACTGTCAAGGTATCAAAGAGTATCACCTACAGGCAATAAATCAAACTCAGTATATGCTGCATGAAACATTATTTATTTGTCTTCAGATTGAAGTCAAAAGAGACAAAGCCTTCCCTCCTCTTTGTCCTGTATTTGCAAAATTAAAATGTAAGTAGTACTTCAGTAGGATAACGTTCTTTTTCAATAGAAAGTCTTTTTTCCTACCCCAAAAGACCTCTGCTGTGTCTTTAAGATTTAAATTTCTCTGCACTTACCACTAGTCACCTCCAACTAAACATGATGGAGTACTAGAAACAGAAAAAACATCACTTTCCAGAGATTTAGGCAGGATCCTAGCACCCTCAGAGCTTACAGCCGTTAAGTATCTGAATTTAAAGAAAAAAGAATCATCTCAGCTTTCTTTTTAAAAGAAAAAATCCATAAATATTCCGCTATCTCCAAACTATGCTCAAGTCACGCACAAGGCTGAATGTTTGCTACTGAAAAGTTCTTCCTAAAATTTTACAATCTTGCCTCCTTCCACAGCACAGGAACAAAGAAAACCCCATGGCCAGCTGTCAATCCGTATGCTATTTTTTTTTACCTTGGACAAGCCGAGGGATAAGTGTGCCCTGAACTGATACCAAGGAAACAAGCTAATGGCCTGCAGTACAGAACTAATCTCCATGGGAACATCTCCGTACTAAACACATATATTATTAAAAGAAAAATGTCTGATATCAAGGTCACAGTGGACCGGTTGTGTCTATTATATCCGGACAGAAAGATGGATGAGATTTTTCTCACTTTTACCAGAGAAGAGAATGAAAAATGTTTTGCAGGATCAAGGAAACATTGCTCTCCATCCATCTCTGTTCAAATTCCAGATACCCTATTGAGCACAGATGACACTCAGAGGGGAGCAGACTGACATTTCTCACAGTACTTTTTTAGCAACTTCATCAGACTCAGTCTGAAATGTGTTACTCATACTGACCAATACACTGACCCAGGAGGAGCTGATGTCAAGAGTTTAAATCTTTACTCCCTTTCCTACTGTTGGGACACAGTGATAGAATAGTTAAGCCACATCCTCCTCAGATCAAAAATGCAAGTTCAAACCATGCTGTAGACTTGTGATAAATACCACCTGAGCTGTAAATGAGTATCTTGTCATCTGCTACCTGAGCTGGAAGTTTTCAGATGCAGTGGTACTTTCACATTCCTTTACCCATTGCTTGTTCCAGAAACAGGCATGCATCAGGCAGCCCAGTCTGGCCACGCAAGGTAAGCACAGCCTCCGATCTAGGACTGTGCATATGCATACAATCCTTATCAGAGGCATATTTGCAGATCATTGGCAATCGTAGGACAGAGAGGCCTTACAGCATCGTCCATGCTGCGTTTAAAGTGAATGGCACTATGAATTTGATCAGAAAAACAAAAGACCTCTAAAACTTGGAAGACCTACTAGATGATAAATTAAAATCTAATTACTTGTTCTAAGTATGGAACAAATGTATTGGTTAAAAACAGCTCAGAAGAGATGGATGCAAAAACTCAGCAACAGTCCACTAATTTGTATCTAGCATTTAATACTAGATATGATCCTGTTCCAAAAGAACATGGCATTACCACAGCCGCATTTATTTGCGGTACCCTCATAAGTTGGATTCTCTCACCTTCATAAATGAAGAAAGACTACAATGCTGACTAAAAGCAATATTTATCATATTTTGAGATCCTTTTAGCAAAATAAATACGCAATTCTTCTCTTTTGAAATAAAGCAACAAAGGGTGGTGTTCAAAACAGCAGTGGCAACAATGTTCAAGATGCACTGATTACACCAGCCACAAAAAGCTTCAAAATCCCAATGATTTTATTTTCAGTCTGAGAATCCAGCATAAACCCTTCCACATAATTTTGGAAAGCAGGCTTGTGATACAATATGATCATTACCATCATTGCAGTCTTTCACTATAGCTATATGTACTTCGATTTAAGCCACATTTCTTCCCTACGATAACAGCAATTCATAACAGTCCCTCTAACAACTTCTTTTATGTGAGCTCAACCAACATCTACACTACAGTCTAGAACCTCCCTGCTTCTGCTACGCACAAGTGAGGTAAAATCCTGTAAGCCATGGCAGTTCTTGCCTGCTCCTCCAGTGACTATTTCCCGTTGTCAACCTGAACACGCATTGAAAAAATAAGAAAACGCGACAATAATATTACGGGAATGTCAACTACTACTTAGAAAGAGTCCTTTCTAGTATGTTTAACAAGCTTACCTGTCTGAAGCTTCCAAGTCAAAACAGAATCGCCTGTCTATAGTATCTATATTTCTTTTGGTACAATACGTAAGGACGAAGAGTTCCTCGTCACCCTGTGAAAAGAAAGTTTTTATATGCTTGACCTAGTAACTTAAAGCTTCAGTAAGCCACCCATACAAACAAAGTAAGGTAAATTTACATTAAAACAATGGCAAAAGCTATACCGAAAACTGACACATGCAAAAATTCACTCATGGTTGCCGATCAGGTCTCTGCACAATGGCACATAAATTCCATGGTCATTTATGGGACATAAACGTAAAAATATTGAGTCCATTGTAGCTGGTACTTCACAGCATGACACAGTACCACAGTAATTTAAACTTACAAAAATATTTTGCTATAACATTTTGGCACGTTACAATATAAACACACAACGAGCATAAGAGACTTCTTCCCATTTTATGTCAGAATCAGCGATTTCCAGAGTAAAGGCTATTACTACAGTAACTAGAATGAAGTAAGTGTTCTTTACTATCTGTAATATGCCCTACAGAACCATTCCTTTCTTCAATACCAACACTAGGACCTTATTTTACTCTTAAGTATTCAGAAATCAAATTAACTCATTTGTGAATGCTGCATGAGTTGTACCGGATTTAATCGGGATTAACTGTATATTTTAATTATTTCTTGCCTTACTCAACATCTCCAGACACAGGAGGTTGTCACTGAAGGAGTAATTGCATTGTGGGTTTCAAAATGGGAGCTCTTTTAATACAGCAAAAATGGCTTCATAAGTGTTTTAGAATGCCGAATGCTTACACACATACTATATTAACTAAAATTGCTTATTACAATTAGAGTAAATCAGGATTAAAAATTCATAGAAGTACTGAAATGATTAAGGAAGCCAAATGCCACTAATTTTCAGTATGGCAGGTTTTCCAGAGCTTTTGAAAGATTCTTCCAAATTCAATATATTTGTAAATATACACAGCCCTCGAAATGATGAAAGCCATCTCCCCTCTGCTCAAACTAATGGGATATAATATCCTGATAAAATTCCAACAACATGATTTTCTAACCAAATTTGAAGATAGGGCAGGGTGCTGCATTTACGGAATATTGACTTAAGCATTATTTTCCAGCATCAGATATCCTTTTTCCTTGCAACAAAATGCATTTCATCCATATTAATGCATTCATTTAATGCATTATCTCTGAAGGTGCTGAGTGCCCTCAATTCCCAACTATTTCAATAGGAATTAAAGCCATTTAAAGATCAACAGTCTTGGGTCTTGAATATTTCAGACGCTATCAAAGATATCTGAAATTATATTCAGTTGTCAGTACAAATTATATTCCTATTAGAATCCTCTTTTCTAGTCCCTCTTCTGGTACTTACATCTCGGAAAGAAAAATCTGACTGGAGCATGTAATAAAGAAATTTCTAAGTCTATTTTATTTTCTTGATTTATACTTTAACAAGTTAAATGTCTCATAGATTAACCAGATTCTAAATGGTGAAACACTGCACGTCATCTGTACCACGGTCTTCTAAAACGAAGCCATTGAAAAGTCTGTAGAATTCTTATCTATTAATCCATCCATTACTTTAGGTTTATGACCTTAAATGGCAGGCTGAATTGCATGAAGAAAAGGAGCAAGGAGGTAGAGAGGGAAAGTACTTGACAGATCTTATCTGACACATCCTCTGATCTTGATACAGGGCGAGTATAAGAGTAGAATATTAAAATACACTTACCACTTTTCCTCCTGATCTGTGTTCAAACGGGATCATGGTGAACTTCTTTGTCTCCTTCCTATACGTGCAATAGTGCTTCACCCAACTGGAACCAAAGGGAGCAGGCCCTACATAAAATGGAAGCATTAAGTTGTATGTACTTTCTCTAGTTCGTGTTCTTCTCCTGCTTTCCAAAATGATACTTAAGAGTCATACTTAATTCCTAATAATGCAGTATTTAAAAAAAAGATGTGAATTAAGAACATCAGACAAAGTAATGCAAATGTTAACCAGTGCTTCCTATTCTAAAATCTGATATATATTTCATATTTATGCTTAATGGCATTTATGCTTATAGAATTATTAACGTATCTTTGTCTCACTACTACAGACAAAATAATTTTTCCCTATAAAACAAATATCCCTTGGAAACTTCATTTAAGCAGAACATGGAAACCTAGTTTTACACTCAGTAACTGCAGATTAAGATACCTGCGTTGCAAGCTCTACATTATCTACTGATTAAGGTCTGATTACATTTTCTGACACCAAAACTCACTCCTAACCGTTCATAAGTGCACACCCTACACAGAATAGACTTCCATAAGAGCCCAGCCTACTGCATAAAGTATTACTGAGATTTGCACCATAACATTAACTGTTAAAACTTTGATTCTGACCCCCTATGTCTCCTCACTTCTATTAATTTACTTTTTTTAAAAAAAAAAAAAAAAAAAAAAAAAAAAAGGTCTGCAAAGGCATCTTCTCTTTTGAAGGACTCTGCCCCAGAGCGTCAAGGAAGCCCTTCATGAGAGGCTCGGGCTGACAGAGGATTTCACTGCTCCTAACCTGGAAGATCTCACTGCCCTGCTCCTCCACAACTCAGCTTCAGGCATACCCACCTCTTCTGAATCTCTTTAGACGATTCTAAAGCTCATGATGACCAAGACCAGTGAACTGATCTCACAAAATAATGATTTTTCTTATTTTTTACTGCACGTTCTCTTAAAACTTTTTTCTGAATGCTGTAATACCAATGTTTCTATTGAGAATGCCATAGTCTTCAATTTGTGAAACATTTTACAGAAGTCTTTACTTAAACAACAATCAATTAAATATCATAAAAGTAAAATCTCTCATCAGAATAAGCAAACAGACTTTCTATAAGGACATACATCTAAAAAATATGATTTATGCAAAATGTTTTCAGAAAAAAAAAATAAATTACTTTGTGGACATTCCTTGAGTGGCAAGAGCTCTGCATCTTATTCAGCTTTTTTTACTAGAGTAAGAAAGATTTATACTTGTTCAAAGTACTGACAGGATATGGTTTGTGTGGCACGCACCTCCACAGCAAGATTTTCAAAACGAACTACCTAGCATATAGCCTGCTTTATTTGACCCTATGATCACAAATAGGTATCGAAAGTGTATCACTGAACCAAGGAAACAACAGTCATTTTCATCATACTAAATTAGCCCAATTTTCGGGAGCTAATTTGGCAATTCATGCTGTTGTCTGACAACAAATGTTTGACAGTTCTGGGGGAGGTAATTAGTAAGGAATTAAAAATAACATGAAATGCGTTCCTTGGTCAAATAAAACTTCCCAAAATCCAGTCACCTTTACTAAGAACTGACACACTTTCAGCACTATGCTCTTTTTACGAGACAGTAACACTGCCATTAGAGACTTTGAATATTTACTCAGATGACTCTGTTTAATAAACTGTAAATTCTTGGCGTCGTCATGCTACCTGTAGAAACAAGACTTAACTCTATGCACAATACGAGCATCACAGCAACACAAAAATACACCTTACTTTTTTCCTGTACATAGAGATAGCCTTCCATTGTGAAGTGATTTGCTCTTTTATGTTCCTGAGGATTTCTTCTGATCTTGTTCATGAGCTCCTCTACCTCTGACCTTGTTCCTTCAAAACGATTTCGTGTCTAAAACAAGATGGCAAAAACCTATTAGTAGAGAAAGTGGAAGAAAGACTTACTCTTCGTAGCAGACAGTAGTTATAATAATGTATTGGTTTTGTGTGGCAAGGTTTTGGTACCAGGGGGTCTACAGGGGCAGGTGGCTTCTATGAGAAGCTGCTAGAAGCTTCCCCCACGTCCAGTAGAGCCAAAGCCAGCCAGCTCCAAGACAGAACCGCCCCTGGCCAAGGCCAAGCCCGTCAGCGACAGCGGCAGCATCTCTGAGACAACATATTTAAGAAGGGGGGAAAAAACTGCTGCTGGAAGAAAGGAGTGAGAGTATGTGAAACAACTCTGCAGACATCAAGGTCAGTGAAGAAGGAGGGGGAGGAGATGCTCCAGGCACCAGAGCAGAGGTTCCCCTGCAGCCTATGGCGAAGACCATGGTGGGGCAGGCTGTCCCCCTGCAGCCAATGGAAGTTAACTGTCACCTGCAGCCCATGCAGGACCCCACACCAGAGCAGGTGGATGTGCCCGAAGGAGTCTGTGGGAAGTCTATGCTGGAGCAGGTTTCATGGTAGGACTGGAGCAGCCTGTTCCTGAAGGACTGCACCCTGTGGAAGGGACATATGCTGGAGTAGGGGAAGAGTGTGAGGAGTCCTCACCCTGAGGAGGAAGGAGCAGCAGTGTGATGAACTGACCGCAACCCCCATTCCCCATCCCCTTGTGCCACTGCGGTGAAAGAGGTAGAGAATTCAGGAGTAAAGTTAAGTCCCGGAAAAAGGGAGGGGTGCGGGGAAGGTGTTTTTAAGATTTAGTTTTTATTTCTCGTTATTCTACTCAGATTTGATTGGTAATAAATTAAACTAACATTTTTTTCCCAAGTCGGTCTGTTTTGCCCGTGACAGTAATTGCCGAGTAATTTCTCTCTGTCCTTATCTTGAGCCACCAGCCTTTCGTTACATTTCCTCTCCCCTGTCGAGCTGAGGAGAGGAGTGACAGAGAGGCTTTGGTGGGTGTCTGGCATCCAGCAAGAGTCAACCCACCACATATCATTTTTTATAAAATTAGAGAATGATTTAGGCCATTTTAGGACAGTCTGCATAATTTCTATATAGGTTTACTCTTCAAATTTTCTGATATTCTTCAAAATTCAAGTGTGGTTTAGACATTAGCTGTTTTAACTGTGGAAAACACACAAAGACTGCCAGAGTAGATTTCTAAAACAATGTGCTGACCTGTTCAGAAAGAAGTGACAGACTGAGTGCAAAATTACTTCAGATTCGAATATTCAAGTTTCCTTTGAAAAATATTACTACAGATGTTGGCTTAATTCATGAGATTCTTACTAGCTGTCAGGAAGGAGAGGATTTTCCGCGGTTATTGAGAAAAAAAGTGACAGGAAGGTCACTGACAATGTATACATGTTGAGACTCTACACATGCCAAATGTTATGATCTCACACAAGCAGAAGGATGAAAAAAAAAGAAAACAAACCCCAGAAAAAAAAAAAGTCCAGTTGATTACTATTCCTGAATGGCACTTATTCCAAAGTTTGCTAACAGATGAAAGAGAAATATTAGACTATCAGTAAAAACAATCAGAAAGTAACCACATCATCCACAAATTATACAACAGGACTACACAAAATAACAGAGCAGCTCACACCTGACACAAGAAACTCTTCACTTTCATCTGAAAAACACTGGCAATTGGCCAATGAGCAAATAACAAAGCCAAAACAGTCATGGTACCTAGTCTTCTCCATATACCCACTTGCCCAAATTGCCCAAACTAAAACATACGTTTAAATTGCAATCTGGTATTTTCCCCAGCTGGTACATGTGTTTTGAGGAACTCACATACTTCCAGATGCATGCTCATGTGTCTTGTTGCTTTTTGAGAACACCTTTATTTTTCTGGATATGGATAATCTTCTGAAAACGCTGCCTCACCTATTTTATTTACACTAACAAATACATCATGAATATAAACAAGTACCCATTCTTGTACATAAACAGTTAACACCATGCTCCTGACTGGCCACCTGTACATGTAAATTCCAGATTTATGCTTGGAAGGAGTTTACTCACAGGCACAGAGTCCATGCAAGCTGGTCAGGGCACCTCCCATACCCATATGTTTTCTAGAGAAAAGCTGAAGATACTCTCTAGGTGATGACTAAGAACAGCTGCCGCCTTACCTCCAGGCAAAATAATTGCTCTGAACCGTCCCCATATCCATCACCTCAATTTCAGGTTACATCTGTTTGCAAATTTTGGAGTTAGACCCTGCACATAAACTCATTTTCAAGGCTCCAAACTATTTTCTAACCTTCTTTTCATCATTTCCTAGAAGAGCTGCATTAACAAATATACTCTATACTCAGAATGAAGGCAAAAAAAATTGATAGTGACAGACTGCTCATACCTAAACCTTTAAAGCTTTAAATGATCCTGCCAGGAACTTTGTCTTAGCTGTGCAGTGATCACAAATCTGTATGTGTGAAACACACCCTGGGAATGGGGGGGATGAAGCGCCTCAGGCTCCAGAAATCTCAAGAAAATTTCCGTCTCCCTTTGTGCTGTGACAAAGCTGAGTTTTACCAGGGGTTGACCACAGCTGCTGCACCAGCGAGGCTATGCCACCTCTTCCCAGCGAAGGCCAGGTTTGCTTGCAGGGCAGGAGAGCATCATCAAGGCTGCAAGTATCCTTGCATGGGGTTGGGCACAGAACTGAGATAACAAGAGAAAAGACCTGGGAGTGCAGGGGAACCTAGTTGGAGAGACACGACTTTTATGATAGAATAAAAGACTGTTGGAAGAATCAGTTTTCTAGAGCTTGGGCTACAAGCCTGGGGTGGTTCTTTTTCATTGTTTCATTTTTTGGGGGGAGAAAGAGAAAGGCAGGGTCTGGGGCAGGGTGTGAAGAAGAAAACCACAGCATAATGCTCAAAGTAAAGACAACCTGAATGAAAAGGAAGGCAATTACTACAGCTATAGTAGCAACCCTCAAATCACTCTCCATATCCAGGTAGGCTCTCTGTACTGAATCTTCTACCCTTCAATTTCAAACATGTCAATCCAGTGTTCTGCCAGCAGCTCAGCTGTACCACAGCCAAGCCCCAGTTCATTTTCTTCTTTGGGATGTTTTGTTCACCTTCACCGTGGAGAGCGTGTTATGTCCTCTCACGATCTTTTCAGATGCTTCCTTCTATTCTTCTCTTACCTCAGATAGTTGTTAAGCATTGCCTCCTTTCTCTCTACAGCTTTTTGAAACCTAGATCGTTCTTTCTATCTTTTCATAAAACTTGAGCTGTAATGCTCAATCTGTTTTGGATTTTCTGGGGCACACTATAGTACCATTCAGACAATTGAAAACGCAGCTGTTGAGATTAGCTTGCTTTCCTATTGCTCGTCACTTCTTCAGACCACTTCACTGGCACTTTTCCATCTGTGATCTGAAATCCAGCTCTTCAAAACTGTATCACAGCTTCCCTCTCATGTTTCATTTCTTTCTCATCTTGCATCAGCTCCCCTCTATCCACTGCAGCTCCATGCTGCTCCTCACTCTGTTAAGCTAAGCACACGGAAGAAGCAAGTCTGTCCTGAAATTTCCCCAGAAGCACTGATTTCTGCCATGGAAGTCTGCGTAAGAAGTTACCAGTACTCAGTTTCCCTACTCAAACCAAACAACAGCTCAAGAGGAAACTGGAGACTTAAACATATAGGAATAACATGAAAAGAATGGTATCATGACATATGAATCACGTCACTATGTATTACAACTGTAATCCTCTCTTCCGTCCCTCCGCCTCCCTGCTACTGCCTGCTAGTTAAGCCATTTCTAAAAATAGACTGCAACCTCCAAGAAGGAGTTTCTGTGTCTTAATTCCAGGTGCCCTTAGAGGTCAACGAAACAGATGCACCGTCATGAATTGCTTGTTTGCAGTAGGGTACGTGGTTTGTTCCCCATCAACAGGCTTCTGGCACACCAAACTTCCTCTGAGCGAATTTTATTCTTCAACAAATCTCAAGGAAGCAAACAGACCATTTGACTGTCACCTTGCCTCCTGCTCTCTCAGTCCTGAGCAGATCACACTAGGCAATGTGGTATGAGGGCACACTAACTAGTGGTGGGCCCCAGTTAGCCTGTCCTTGAAGGAATATATCGCTTTGTCAAACACGCCGTGGGTGGTAACATCAAGTCTCCTTACACAGTTCTGCATCTCAAACCAACAGGGATATTCTTGCCTGAAAGGGCTGCTTCAAGACAAACAGAAACTTCAACTCACACTCCTGGCAGAGATGCCAAAATAAATGGTGATAAGCCCAGCTGGTCTTCCTTCCTTTTCTTAGTTATGGACAATATTCTACCAAGCAATGACCCTCAGACACAAACACCACATACTCAGTTTCAAACACACCTAAAACACTAAGAAGCTTGGCATTTCATTACCCGTCCTCTGAATTCCCCAGTCGTATGCATTTCAATAGATTTCATTCATTTTTAAACTCTCATGATAATCCTTGTACTATATCTCTATAAAAAAACTGAAAAAAAAGAGTAGGGGCCTTTTACTTGGTGTTTGTTTTTAAAGTAGTAGGAATGATGAAGAAAACTGCAATTGGTGCTGATTTGTTCAGTGACGTGGTTAGTTAGCCAGGAGATGGCACTATATCCCCAAAGTTCACAAGTAATACACTAACGGCGAGGAAAAGTATTGGTAATACAGATACCGTATATACAGTAACTTAAGTGTGCGATTTCACTCAAAAAAAAAAAGAACAGGCATAGATATTAATCTCAACTTACATTTTGTATATTTATCTGCAACGCCATTTTGTAGTGATTGAAGTCTTTAGCAAGTTCATATCCCTGATGATAGAAAGTGAATAAACCCTGAAAAAATGATAGTACCTGAAATACAAACAAAGCACTTGTTAAAATTAAAAACTCCATTTACCAGAACGTGATTACTGCACGTAACTTTTTCTTGAAAGATCAGAAATGACAAAATTATTATTTGTAAACAAATTTCCACTAATGCCTACAATTTATGAATAACTATTTAGATCCAAATGATCACCTATATATATAGGCATTTTGTGGTGGTCCTGTCTGATCTCTACTTTAAATTTGACCATAGGCTATATACATTGCCTGTGTCCTAAACTTTATGTAAGGTTTTCCTACAGCTCCTCTGATACCAATGATGTCTGGTGAAAATATTTGTGCACAAGGAGGTAATGATCATTCTATCTTCCAGCCACCATTTCCCTGGTCATTCCCCTCCCTGCTAATGACCACATTGAGATGACTTTCAAAACAGGGTCAACTGGTTTGTTTGAAGAAGGAAGCCTTCCCTCTGGAAACTACTCATCACTGCTTTTGTATGCAGATCTGACGCTTTGTGAGAACGAGCAATTTCTGACTTCAGTGTTTCAATTTAAAAGAATGAACAAATTACACTGCATTGGAAACAGGGTGAGGTGCAGTACTGCCTACCTCTCCTGCTTCCAACAACCTAGACCAAACAAGTGTGACACAGGAA